TCTCATCATGTGGTATCTTCCACCATGTTATGAGGTAGTAAGAAGGCCCTCACCAGATGTGGCCGCTTCATCTAGGACTTCTCAGCCACCAGAACTGTGGGCCAATTTCTTTCTTTCCTTTCTCCTTTCCTTCCCCCACTTCCTCTCCCCTCCTCTCCTCTCCTCTCCTTTCCTTCTTTCTTTCTTTTTTTGAGAAAGAATCTCTAAACTGGTCATTCTAGTTAGCAAAGAAAAATGAAAGGGGGAAAAAAAAAGCCTTGCTCTGTCACCCAGGCTGGAGTGCAATGGAATGATCTCAGCTCACTGCAACTTCCACCTCCCAGGGTCAAGCTATTCTCCCGCCTCAGCCTCCCAAGTAGCTGGGATTATAAGCATGCGCCACCATGCCTAGCTAATTTTTGTATCTTTAATAAGAGACAGGGTTTCACCATGTTGGCCAGGCTGGTCTTGAATTCCTGACCTTGCAATCCACCCACCTTGGCCTCCCAAAGTGCTGGGATTACAGACATGAGCCACTGCACTCGGCCAACATTTGTTCTTTATAAAGTTTTGAGTATTCTGTTAGAGCAGCACAAAATGGACTATGAGTGGGCTACTTTTAAAAAATTATTATTGAGGTATTATAGAGGTAAAATTCACATAAAACTCACCATTTTAACCATTTTAGTGTACAATAATTCAGTGCATTCCAGTACATTCACCATGTTTGCAACTATCATCACTATCTAAATCTGAATATTTTCATCACTCAAAAAAGAAACTCAGTAAGAAGCAACTCCCCATTTCTACATTTCCCTAACCCTAGCATCTACCAATGTTTTCTGTCTCTATGGATATGCCTCTTCTGGATGTTTCACATAAATACAATCATACCACATGTGGCCTTTTCTTTCAGTTAGCATGTTTTCAAGGTTGATCCATGTTGCAACATATATTAGTACATAATTTCTCTTTATGGCAGAACATTTCATTGTATGAATATACCACAATTTGTCCATTCATCTAATGATGAACATTTGGGTTGTTTCTACTTATTGGCTATTATAGCGTTGCTATATACATTCATGTAGAAGTTTTTGTTTGAATATTGGTTTTCTATTCTTTTGAGTATATATTTAGAACTGCTGGGTTATATGTCAATTTCGTTTAAAAATTTGAGGAACTGCCAAACTGTTTTTCAGTGACTGCACTTTTATATTCCCACCAGCAATTTGAGCTTTCCAATTTCCAATCTTTGCCAACACTTGTCTTTTAGTAATAGCAACCTAGTGAGTATAGAAAGTGGTATCTGATTAAGATGAGATACCAGAAATATAAAGGATTGTAAGTAAATGCTATTAACAATTGTATGCAAACAAATTAGAGCAACCTAGTGAGTACAGAAAGTGGTATCTCATCTGATTAAGTGGCATGTCATTTGATTAAGCCCATTTCATGATTTGCATTTCCTTTAAGGTGAAAGGTTATGATGTGAAGCATCTCTTCCTGTACTATGGCCACTGGAATATCTTCCTTGGAGAAATGTCTATTCAAGTCCTTTGCCCATTTTTAACTTGGGTTGTCTTTCAGCTGATGACTTGTAAGAGTTATTTGAACTTTATCAGATATATGACTTGCAAGTATTTTCTCTCATTCGGTGGGTTTTATTTTCTCTTTCTTAATAGTGTCATTTGATGCATAAAGTTTTAAATTTTGATTAAGCCCAATTTTATTTATTTTTCTTGTTGCTACTTGTTCTCTTGGTATCATAACTAAGAATCCACTGCCAAATCCCAGGTCATGTAGACTTACCACAGTATTTTCTTCTAATAGTTGTATAGTTGCATGCTTATATTTAGGTCTTTGATTTATTTTGACTCAATGTTTGCATGTGGTATAAGGTAAGGGTCCAAATTCATTCTATTACATGTGGATACCCAGTATCCTCGGCATTTGTTAAAAATGCTATTCCATTCCCCAGTGATCTATATTAACACCTTTGTCAAAAATGAATTACCATAGATGTATAGGTTTACTTCTGGGCTCTCAATTCTATTTTATTGGCCTATACATCTATCCTTATGTCAGTACCACACTCTTGATTACTGTAGTTTTGTGGTAAATTTTGAAATCACAAAATGTGAGTCTTCTTTGTTCTTTTTCAAGACTGTTTGGCATCCTTGCAATTTCTTATGAATTTTAGGATCAACCTGCCCATTTTTACACAAATGGCAGTTGGAATTGATAACAATTTCACTGATTCTGTAGGTCAATTTGGGGAGTATTGCCATTTTAATAATATAAAGTCTCCTAATACATGAACATGAATTGCTTATTTAGGTCTTTTAAAATTTCTTTCAACGTTTTGTGGTTTTCAGTGTAGAACTCTTATATCTCATTTACTAGTATTTTATGCTTTTGATGCTATTGTAAATGAGTTTTCTTAATTTTGCTTTGAAATGTTCATTGCAAGGGTACAGAAATATAACTAATTTTTGTATGTTGATCCTGGGCATCCTGTGACACTGAGGTATTAGGGCTAATAGTTTTTTGTGGATATCCTTGTAATGTGCTTCAGGATTCATTTTTGTTGAGGGGCTTTGCACCTATATTCGTTAGAAATATTGAACTGCAATGATGTCTATGTCTGGATTCGGTACTAGGGTAATGCTGGCATCATATAATGAGTATGAAGTATTCCCTCTTCCCCTACTTTAAGTGTTTGAGAAGGGCTGGCACTATTCAAATGTTTTACATCACCAGTGAAGCCACATGGTCTGATCTTTCCTTTCTTGGAAGTTTGTCTTTGTTTTTTAACTAACACTATCATAGGTTTAGTTTCTGCTTGAGTCAATTTTGGTAGTTTGTATGCAATTTTGGTAGTTCGTATGCTTCTAGGACTTTGTCTATTTTATCTAGGTTATCTAATTTGTTAGCATACAATTGTTAATAGTATTTCCTTACAATCCTTTATATTTCTGTAAGATTGGCAATAATTTCCCACTTTATACCCGATTTTAGTATTTGAATCCTTTTGTCTTCCTCAGTCTTTTTAAAGGTTTGTGAACATTACTGATTATTTCAAAAACCAACTTTTGGTTTTTGTGGATTCTATTTTCTACAGTGTATTTCATTTATCTCTGCTCCAGTCTTTTTATTCCCTTCTGCTAGCTTTGGGTTTGATTTCCTTTTTTTCTAGTTCCTGAAGGGGGAACGTTAGCTTGCTGATTCTAGGTATTTTTTCATGTAGGCATGTGTAGCTATAAAATTTCCTTTGACCACTGCTTTTGCTGCATTTCATAAGTTTTCATGTGCTGTATTTTTGTTTTTATTCATCTCAAAGTATTTTCTAATTTCTCTTGTGATTTAATCTTTCTTTGACCCATTGGTTAAGGGTGCGTTATTTTAAGTTTTATTCCATTGTAGTCAGAGAAGACACTTTGTAATTTAATCTTTTAAAATTGAGATTTGTAGACTAACATGTTTTATTCTTAACAATGTTCCACATGAACTTGAGATATCTTGGAGTATCTTTTTCTACTTGCTATAGTTTGAATGTGTGCCCTCCAAAATCGAGATACTGAAACTTAATGACAACATGATGATATAGGTGATTAATTCCTGAGGGCTCCTCACCTCATGAATGAGATTAGGTGCACTTAAATTTGGGCTTGAGGAGGAATTTCATTCCTTTTTGCCCTTTTACATTCTACCATGTTGAGGTTATAACATTCCTCCCCTACAGAGGATGCAGCAATACGGTGTCATCTTGGAAGCAGAAAGCAGCTCTTACCAGACAACCAAACATGTCAGTGTCATAATTTTGAATTTCTCAGACTCCAAAACTGTGAGCAAATAAAATTCTGCTCAATACAAATTACCGAGTTTAGGTATTCTGTTAGGAGAACACAAGAAAACTAAGGTACCAGCCTTTCACTTTCAACCCATGTGTGTCTTTAGTTCTAAAGTGAGTCTTTTATAAACAGCCTATAGTTAGAACATTTAAAAGACTCCATTCTGCCAACCTCTCCATCCATTAAAATGGAGTTTACACATTCACATTTAGTGTAATTCGTAATAAAAAAGGACATTGCTGCTTGCTATTTGTTTTCCCTATGTCTTCCTTAATTCCTCCCTTATGCCATTTTCTGTGTCAGATATTTTCTACCATATCATGTTTATTACCTTTTCAAAATTTTTAGTTATTTTCTTAGTAGTTGCTCTAGGGATTACAATTAACAACTTCATTTATAACAATCCATTTTAAATAAATGCCAACTTGGTTTCAATAGTACACAACATTTTTTCTCCTGTAATTTATTCTTTCCTCCTTATCATCACAAATCATCTTTATAAATTGTGCCTTCATTGACATAGATATAATTATTTTCACTTATATCTATCTATGTAGTTAAATCTTTATCAGTACTTTTTATTTCTTTATGTGGATCTGAGTTACTGTCTGTCTTTTCATTTCAGGCTGAAGGATCTCTTTAGTATTTCTTGTAGGGCAGGGCTACTAGTGACATGCTCTCTGTTTTTGTTTATCTGTGAATGTCTTACTTTCTCCTTCACTTTTGAAGGATAGTTTTGCTGGATACAGAATTCTTGACAGTTTTTTCTTTCAGCACTTTGAATATGTCATCTCACTGCCTCCTGGCCTCCATGGTTTCCAATGAGAAGTCAGCTATTAATCTTATTGAGGATCCTTGGTATGTGAGGAATTGCTTCTCTCTTGCTGCTTGTAGGATTCTTTGTCATTGACTTTTGACAGTTTAATTATGATGTGTCTTGGTGTGGATCTTTTTGAGTTAATCATATTTAAGGTTCTTTGAGCCTCTTGAATATCTAAGTTCATGTCTTTCATCAAAGTTGGGAAATTTTCTACCATTATTTCTTCCAATATTATTTCTTCCCCTTTTTCTCTTCTCTTTCTGGGACTCCCATTATGCATATACTGGTACACTTGATAGAGTCCCAGAAGTCTTTTATGCTCTGTTTATTTTTCTTCATTCTTTTATCTTTCTGCTCCTAAGACTGCATAATCTTAATTGATGTATCTTGAAGCCTGTTGATTCTTTCTTCTGACTTCTCCAATCTGTTGCTGAATACCTCTAGTGAACTTGTAGTTTTAACTATAACACTTTTCAGCTCCAGAATTTCTATTTGATTCCTTTCTATAATTTCAATCTCTATTGATATTCTGTATTTGATGAGGCATTGCTCTCCTAATTTCTTTTTGTTCTCTGTACATGGTTTCCTTTAGCTCTTCTAGCATATCTAAAATTGTTGATGAAAAGTCTTTGTTTTGTACATCCAATGTCTGTGCTTCTTCAGGGGTAGTTTCTATTAATTACTTTTTTCCTGTGTATGGGCCATACTTTTTTGTTTTTTGCTTGCCTTGTAATCTTTGCTAAAAATGTGACATTTTGAATATTATACAGTGGTAACTCTGGAAATCAGATTCTCCTCCCTCCCCATAGTTTGTTGTTGGTACTTGCTGTGGTTACTACTGTTTGGCAACTTTTCTGAACTTTATAAAGTCTGTATTCCTCACTGTGTGGGACCAGTTGAGCCTCTGTTCTGTTGGCTTAATTCGCAGCTAGTTGTGATTCAACAGAGAAACAGATTTCCCTAAATGCCTGAACCAAAACGAAAAGAAAACACTCTCAGTCTTTACCAGCAGGTGCTGTGTAGGTGTTGGGGCACACCTGCAACATTCAGCTAAGCAACTTACAAATTCACCTTAGTTTTCACTTCCTATATAAGCAGAGCCTGATGGTTAGCCAGGTGAGAGTTTAGGGCCTTCTCAAGTCTTTTACGAGCATTTGCCTCACCCTGGTGTGCATGTGGCCTTTTTGATTCCTGGGAATATGTGGGAGTTTTAAAGGCCTTTATTCTCCAAAGTATCTTACTTTCCAGCTTTTCCTCCCAGGCTTTCCGGTGTGTCTATTGTTTACCTTAGCTGTTATTTTTTGCCCCAGATGGCAGAGGATAATAAACTTGCCTTTACATATTTTTGACAAATGCCTGTAGTCACCTTTCTGCCTAAGGAGATTTCCAAGTTAGGTGAACTAGAACAAACCACCATAATTCTTTGAAAACAAGGTCCATGGCCAGGTGCAGTAGCTCACACCTGTAATCCAGCACTTTGGGTGGCTGAGGCAGGTGGATCACCAGATGTCAGGAGTTTACCTGGCCAACATGGCAAAACCCTATCTCTACTAAAAATACAAAAATTGGCTGGACGTGGTGGCAAGTGCCTATAATCCCAGGTACTCAGGAGGCTGAGGCAGGAAAATCGCTTGAACCCAGGAGGAGGAGGTTACAGAGTGAGCCAAGATCATGCCACTGCATTCCAGCCTGGGCAACAAGAGCAAAACTCCATCTCAAAACAAACAAACAAAAAAACACAAGATCCATTCTGCTCCCTTTGGCACCAGGAACAGATATCAGAAATGTAGGTCTTTGTTTTCAAAGCTGGACAGGAAGGTGGCACCAGGGTAAGCTGAAGTGATATGAAGCTCTACTTGGGATTCAGCCATCTTTTTATTTATTTTATTTTATTTTTTTGAGTCTTGCTAAGTCACCCAGGCTGGAGTGCAGTGGCACAATCTCCACCTACCAGGTTCTCTTGCCTCAGCCTCCAAAGTAGCTGGGATTACAGGTGCCCGCAACCACACCCAGGTAAATTTTTTGTATTTTTTTTGATGGCTTCAAATTCCTGACTTCAAATGGTATCTGCCTGCCTTGGCCTCCCAAAGTGCTGGGATTATAGGCATGAGCCACCACACCCGGCCTCAGCCATCTTTTTAAAAAAATGTTTCCTTGGTCACTATGAATCTTTGACTAGATTCCAGAATTCATATAAAATTGATTCGAGGCCAGGTGTGGTGGCTCACGCCTGTAATCCCAGAACTTTGGGAGGCTGAGGTGGATGGGTAACAAGGTCAGGAGTTCGAGATCAGCCTGGCCAACATAGTGAAACCCTGCCTCTACTAAAAATACAAATATTAGCCAGGCATGGTGGTACATGCCTGTAGTCCCAGCTACTCTGAAGTCTGAGGCAGGAGAATCTCTTGAACCTGGGAGGCAGAGGCTGTGGTGAGCTGAGATCTGCCGCTGAACTCCAGCCAGGGCAACAGAGTGAGACTCCATCTCAAAACAAAACAAAACAAAACAAAAAAAACCTGATTCTGACCATTTTTACCAATTTTAATTCACTGGCTTTGTGGAGAAATGGGCTCTTGGAGTTTCCTACTCATCATTTTCAATAACATCACCTCCAAAGGACTGATTCTTGAAGAACTTCAATATTTGGTAGTGGAGTAGATGAGAATGAGTCTGTGAAAAGGAATGAGAGGAACAGTCAGAGAAGGAAGGAGAAAATACAAAATGTGTTGTGCCTCAGAGGCCGAGAGAGAGAGAAGGCCAATGCAAAGAGAGTAGCTTTCGATGTCAAATATTGAGATCAAGTAGGAAGATGGAACAAATATTCTGAGATCAAGTAAAATGTTCATTAAACACAGGTACAAAGAAGTTGTTTGTGACCTTAACACTATTTCTAAATGAGACAACATTGATATTTTGAGCAGGACGAGTCTTAAATATAAAGTACTATTCTGCGCATTGCTACATGTTTAGCATCTCGGCCTCTGGTAAATAAATATCAGTACCCTTCACCCTTAAGTTATACTGAAAATATACGAGTGATAATTAAAAAAAATACTACCACACATTTCCAAATGCTCCCTGGAGACTCACCACTGCTTCTTGAAGAACCATTGCCTTGGGGAAATCTATTTTGGTAATATTATGGGAGCAGATTTCAGACTACAGTGACCTAAAATGTAAATAGGAGAGTAAAGAATGAAAAGGTAAGGTACTACAAATAAGACTTACTGGATGTTTGGCTGAAGTGAGCAGTTAAGAGTATAGGGTCAAGAAAGGGTATTTTAGTGGCAGGATTTGGATATGTTTAAAGACCAGTGTAAATAATCCAGATGAAAGAGAGTGTGAATATACAAAAGCAGGGATAATTGATAATATAAGGCGAACTGAATGGGGGGCGTGGAAAGAAAGGACAGGTAAAGAAAATGACCTTAGATAAGCAGCTTAATTTCTGCTTTGAAACAGTAACCTTAGGCATTTAGGCAATACAATAGCATCCTAACTAGTTTCCCTGCTGCTTCCCTTGCCATATAGACTATTCTCAACACAGTGGCCACGTCGTTTTTTGCTTATAACTCTTCAATGGCTTCGAATTAACTCAGAATAAAAGGCAACCTTCTTGTAATGGCCTATAAGATCCTTCACAGTCTGTTCCTCTACCCGCTCCTTTAAGCCCATCTCATTTCCTAATATTTTCACTCTCAGTCACTACCCTTCAACCACAGAGCTTTCCTTATTATTTTGAACACATTAGGCACAGTCTTGCCTCAGGACCTTTGCTCTCGCTGTTCCCTTTGCCAGAAACACTCCTTTCCAGACACCTGTATAGCTTGTTACCTCATCACCTTCAAATCTTAGCTCAAATGCCACCTGCTCAATAACTGCTCTACTTGAAAACATTATTCCTCCATCCAGTGCTTTATCTTACCCCCTTTCTCTGTAGCACTTATTACTTTCTAAATTACTATGTCATTTGATTTTGGTGATGATGAGGCTCAAGTGGAATCAGTCTATTCTATTATTTTATAATCTTCAGCAGTGTGAAAATGCTCAGAGGTACTGAGAAAATGAATGACTGGGTTAATTCAGGATGAAATTTTGCCAGACACAGGTGAAGGGTTTAGGGTATGCTTCTCAATATTAGCTGAACTTTAGTATCTATTACCCGAAAGAACTTCCAAAAATAGCCAATTTTGAGTCAGTAAGTAATTCTCCCAGGATCTGCTGATTGCACTGTTTACATCATCCCTGCATAGAAAGAAGGTTATACCATATGTTGATAGGGTGATATCCTGGAAGTTTTTAATCCCTTTTAGTAGATAGTAATTTTTGTTGTAGTTATTTTTCCTCATAATTGAATGAAAGCTTCATATGACACATTTGAGACCCCAAAGTATCTCCTTTTAGTTATGTATTATACTTCATTAAAATATAAACTCCGTAAGAGCAGAATCCAAGTGACTTTGCTTAATGCTACATTCCTAAGACCCGATACACAGAAATTCAACAATATATACTTTTTTGAGATGGAGTTTCGCTCGTTACCCAGGCTGGAGTGCAATGGCGCGATCTCAGCTCACCGCAACCTCTGCCTCCTGGGTTCAGGCAATTCTCCTGCCTCAGCCTCCTGAATAGCTGGGATTACAGGCACGCGCCACCATGCCCAGCTAGTTTTTTGTATTTTTAGTAGAGACGGGGTTTCACCATGTTGACCAGGATGGTCTCGATCTCTTGACCTCGTGATCCACCCGCCTCGGTCTCCCAAAGTGCTGGGATTACAGGCGTGAGCCACCGCGCCCGGCCCAATAATATATTTTTAAAAATGAATGACCACCAGTAGTGAAGCATGTATGTGCCAGGTACTGCTAAATTATTTACATAATTTAGATTACTTTTACAAACAGTACTATACCCTATCAGGCCAAGTTTAGAGGCAGAGGAGCATAATCCTCAAGACTAGTAATTTGCTGAAAGTCACATTGCTAGTCAGTTAATATTGCAGCCTAAGCTCTACATAATGTCATACTGTTTCTAAAACCCATGCTTTTAATAACTATATTACCCCGAGTTTGTGAGGAAGGCAAGGACAGAGAAAAAAGAGATAGAAATGAAGTACATGAACATTTTAGGGAATACATCCTTATTTTATGATGCTTTAGAAATTGCAGCAAAGATTTTAAAGTCCCTTTCACAACTAGAGGCTTGAGAATTTCATTTTCTTGAAAAATCCTTCAATAGAATCACATTAAAATCTTGGTCACCTATATATAGCCTATGAGTTGATAGTTTTCCCCCTCTATTGGTTGGTACGTGTTCAGTCTGGTTGAAATATGGGTCTTTTACTCATTTACAAACTTGATATTTCTCATTAGATGGCAATGCAAATAATCTAGTTTAAGATTTGCTATACATGCAAATTTATGTAAAATTTTGAATATTATCTACTAGAATATTTTGCCTGTATTAGGAATAAGCTAGCTTTTTCCTCCATCTTGTTTGTGAGAACAGTACTGTATTTATAATTCTTTATTCTTTCAGAAAGCAAACAGAAATGGAACCTCTATGCCTTTTCCTCTTGAGAATTCAATATTGCTATTTTCATTGTATTTATTTCTGTAGGAAAATATCTTTTCATTCAACAAACATTTATGACATATCACATGAAGCTTTCATTCTAGTGGGAAACAATCAATAAAAAAAATATATCAAATGGTTTAAGAAAAATAGATCAGGGTTAAGGCAGCAACATGGTGGTAGAGTGCCATCATGTAGAGTTTTGAGCCTACACTGGAAGAATGGAGTTGTCATTTCATGAGATTGAGAAGATCTCAGCAGGACTTGTTTGGGGAGAGGGGCAGAGATTAAGAGTTTAGTTTTGAATTCAGTAAGTTTGTGATGCCTGACAGAAATTCAGGCAGGGCTATCAAGTAGGCAGTTAGTTAAGTGTGAGTCTTGTGTTCAGAGGAAAGGTGTGGGCTAGAGCTTCACATGTAGGTTTCATCCAGCTAGAGATCTGAATGAGATTGCCTAGGGAGAGAGAACAGAGGAGTGCAGGTTGTGAGATTTCAATCTTAGGGCATTCCAGCATTTAGAGGTTGGAAAAGAAGGAGAAATCAGCAAGGAGTCTAAGGGACAACCATTTAGAAAGGATGAGAAGCAAGAAAGAAAATGAAATCCTGGTAGGTAAGAAAAGGAACTTGTTAAAATGCTTGCTCTGAATGAAGAGCCGCCCCCCCCCGTCCCCCACCCCCAACAGGCTTTGTGTGAGCAACGTGGCTGTTTATTCACCCAGGTGCAGGTAAGCTGAGTCCGAAAACAGCAGCGAAGGATGGTGATATAGGAGTTGGTTTTAAAGGTGTGCGGTGGGCAGTAAAAAGTTACTGAAGTTACAGTTTAGGGAGGTTTTTCGCTAGCTGGGAGGGGGTCGTAGGTTGTGAAGTCAAGAGATTGACCAAGGTCGGTTACAGAATCCAATGGCCTTATCAATTGGGGCAGGAATAAGGGACAATAGAGTATGTCTCAAAATTAAGTAGGCCTTCCAGTTATTTCAGATTTTCCAGGAACTCATTTGGAGTGTCCGTGCAGGTCACAAAGGTTAACATGACGTCCACGGCGCTGTCAGCCTAAAAGACCTTACAAAACTTTAGGAAAGTCATCAGCTTTGTCAAATGCTGCTGACAAATGAAAGGAAGATCGAGAAACAAAAATCAGGCTTGAAAACCTGGAAGCTACAGATCATCTTGAGCAGGTTCAGGAGTGTGGGAATAAAGTCTGACTGTGGGTTCAATAGAGAGTAGAAGTGGAGATAAAGTATTTTTGTAAAGGACAGCAGATCAGAGAGCAATGGAGTAGCATTTGAGGGGAGATTCAGGTCAATATAGTTTGTTTTAAGAAGGTGGCTTATATAGCACGTTTAAAAGTTGATGGAAGTGATCCAGCCATGGGGGAAAAATCATAAGGAAAGCTGACAATTCTAAGAGTAAAATGCAACTAAATGCAAAAATGGCAAGTTTGGTTTTAGGAACCTCGACAGTTTATCCAGTCACTGGAGTGTTGTGCTGTATTCAGATGTAGATAGGCTGGTAGGTGCAATGGTGGGAGTAGTTACTACTTTCTGATTTCTATTTTCTTAGAGAGGTAGCAAGCAAGTTAAGGACCTACAAATGAGGAGGTATTTAGAAAATGTAAAACAGTTGTTTAAGAGGGCAGGTTAAATGGATTAGGGAAATACAGCCCCAGGGGGTGGGGGACTGTGGTGCTCACTTCAGAATTAGCAGGATTGTATCTTTCTTCAGCCAAGTTCAATTGCTCTGCAGCAGGCATACAGTGCATTAACCAGGGATGTTGTTTAAGCAGGTAAGGAGGAGATGAGGCATATATACAGAGAAGGTTTTATCTAAGCTAGATAATGAATGGGTGTAACATTTAGGCACGTCCCTTAATAAGCACAGATGATTCTGACAACTCTCGATATTTGTGGTAGTTACGTTCAATAAAGTATCCGTGAACAGGGAACTGTTCCTAGGGTAAAGACAATTCCTGCAAGCCTCTGGCCAGATATTTTTGTCAATCAATCAATATATAACATTGTTTTATGTGCGTTTCTGTTTAAAGATACCTTATTTAATATATATTGTTGATTTATTAACATCTAACTCAAGGCCAAAAGCACTAAGGAGAAACCGGAATGAAACTTACATAGCACGTGTGTTTTCTCTGTAAGGTAGCACAGCCATTTTTTGCTTAGGAATATTAGACAGCAGTTCCTGCAGGAGGAATTTAACATAGCAAAACCACCAATAAAAATGCACAAACAGGCCGGGTGTGGTGGCTCACACGCCTGTAATCCCAGCACTTTGGGAGGCTGAGACAGGCAGATCACTTGAGGTCAAGAGTTCCAGACCACCCTGGCCAACATGGTGAAACCCTATCTCTAACTAAAAATACAAAAATTAGCTGGGCATGGTGGTACACGCCTACAATCCCAGCTGCTTGGGAGGCTGAAGCAGGAGAATCGCTTAAACCCAGGAGGAGGAGGTTGCAGTGAGCCATGATCATGCCACTGCCTTCCAGTCTGGGTGACACTCTGTCTCAAAAAAAAAAAAAAAAAAAAAAAAAAAGGCACTAATGCATTGTAAAGAAGACAGTTGTTTACAGTATAAAAGCTAAAATAATAAGGCAGAATGTTGCCTCATTCAACCTCAGCTGGGAAAGTGGGTGTCAGGCAAGTTAAACTTTCTCCAACTCTGCGTATCTGCAGATACTGAGAGTATGTTTTAGGCTCCCCCAAAATTTTAAGACAGTAGATTCCAGTTTGCAAATATGGAATCCTCGAATGAGGATCAACTGTACATTGCCTGGAACTGTTTCCTCCAGTTTGCTACTTTTGGTAACGTGGTTTATTTATTTTTTGGGACAGGGTCTCCCTCTGTAACCCAAGTTGGAGTATAGAGGTGTGATCACAACTCACTGAGTCTCGAACTCCTGGACTGAAGAAATTGTTCAGCCTTAGCCTCTGGAGTAGCTAGGACTACAGGCATGCAACACCATGCCTCGCTACTTTTGAGCAAACGGTTTTATATCAATTTCAGCAGACACCCAGTCATCAAACAAATTAGTAGTAATTTTGCTGCCAGTTTTCAAACAAGTTTCCATGTAACGTTTGTTATTTGTTGTACTCCTGATATTTGTCTTCAATGGATTCACTACAAACGTGTCAGAAATTGCACGTAAGATGCACCGATTTTTTTTTCGATAATTTCAGCCACTGGGAATTTTTTTTTAAAGTTACTGATAGTTTAAGTGAGCATTAAATAGGCTTTTTATTGGTCTTCCCATCCCCACAAACAGCAATAAGTTTTATGTTTGACAGGTGATGTGACAAATAAGCTTACGTAATTAAAACTTTTTTTCTACCCATTTGTGATTTCAAGGCCTTTCTCCCAACATCATTCCCTCTCTTCATCTATTAGGTCTAGCAATAATGTAACTTCTTGGATACCAAATAAATCAGTTACTTTTCGTTGTTTTTTGGGGGTGGGTGTCTTTTTTCTTCTAACTTGTTTACCATTTTGCCTCTTCTGTATTAATCACATATTTACTCTGACTACAATTCTTTTAACTACTGTTCCTTCCAGTTTAAGAAAAAAAAAAAATCAACCAATCACCGGATACCACCACTCTCAACTAATGGTTGTTGGTATACTTGACGTTTCTCCTCCCAATGTGGCTGCAACAGTACATAAAATCTCATTTGTAGCAATTTCACCTAACACACCGCAAGCCTTTATTCACATCCAGAACCTCAACATGTATTTCCTTTCGCGGACTTCAGCGAAGAATCAGAAGGGGGAAAAAGTGAGAGATAAATAGAGGGTGGGCGGGGCACAGCTGGGTATGCAAAACGTTAAAAAGGGGTGAGAAGCCGGGCGCCGTGGCTCACGCCTGTAATCCCAGCACTTTGGGAGGCCGAGGCGGGAGGATCGCTTCAGGCCAGGGGTTCAAGACCAGCCTGAATAACATAGTGAGAACCTATCTCCAGGAAAACTTTAAAAAATTAGCCGGGCGTGGTGGTACATGCCTGTGGTCCCAGCTACTCAGGAGGATGAGGTGGAAGGATCCGTTGAGGTCGAGGCGCAGTGAGCCGTGATCGCGCCACTGCACTCAGCCTGGACGACAGAGCGAGACCCTGTCTCAAAAAAAGGGAGGGGAGGTGGGGCAGTGAGACAGTTCAGGGCTGTTTCCAAGGGACCCATCTCCCTAAATTTCCACTATCAAGCACCGCTTTCATTCCCTGCCCCGAATGGTGTTACCCGCTCCGTGCAGGCATCTCCGCTGAGGGCCGCCGTGGTGCACCGCCTTCCGCCTCGGGCACAGCACCCCTCAGCTCCTCCTCTCGGCCGTTTCTCCCCGGGCCAGCATGTGCTCCTTCCCCCTCCGGGGCGCAGGGTGAGACTTACGTCTAAAGGACGCCCGGCGAGCTTGCTGCAGCCCCTGCGCCACGGAGGGCCCGTGGCGCCCGCGGCGACCGGTGAGGGGCAGCGGCCCGGGCTCGGTTCCGGCTTCCAGCAGCGGCCCGAAGGCGCTGGAGTACGCTCCCAGCTACCCAGAGGGTAGCTTTCGCGACTGCCTACCAGGCAGCTCATCGGAAGCGTCCGCCCCTGGTCTCGCCAGGGGGTTTCCGACCTCCCCGCCCGAGCCCATAGGGGCGGGGGCCGCGGCCGGAGAGCTCGCCCGAGGGTACCCCCTCCCGCGGCGCCTCTGAGCGCACGCGCAGCCGCCGCAGCCTCCCTTATTAAGTCCGCGATGGCTTCCCTCGCGCCCCACCGTCCTCTTCCGGAAGGCGGCTCCCTCCCCGCGCAGCCCGGAGCCCCTGGGACCAGCCTCGAGCGGGTGCCCGAGCGAGACTATCCCTAAACGGAAACGGCGGTGGCCGGACTCGCGAGTGAGGAAAAGAAGTAAAGGGCTGACAGGTCGCGAGGAGGAGAGCCAGGCCTCAGAGGAGGAAAGAGGCCGGGGCCAACCGAGGTTTGCCGAGGGCGGCGTTCCGGACCCGCGCGGGGCGGGGAGGAGAGGAAGGCCGAGGGTGGGAGAGGAGGGGCACGTCGGAAACTGCCGAGGTTTCCCGAAGGCGGCAGCGTCCGAGTTGCCCGGATGTAGTTGGTGGAGCGGCGGCGGCGGCACCAGCGGCGGCGGGAGGAGGTGGAGGAGGAGGAGGAGAAGGACCAGGCGGCGGCAGCAGCGGCGGCGGCGGCGGGGGGAGGAGGGGAGGAGGCGGCGGAGCAGGAGGAGGAGAAGGCGGAGGAGGCAGTCGCTCTCCGCGGGGCTGAGCCGGACGCATCTTCTTGCCCCCCTCCCCCCGGTTCGCGCTGCCGCCGTGTAGTTGGCGCCGCTTCCCCGGCTGAGAGTGAGCGTGGTGTCGACGGAGGGAGATGGCCCGGGAGCGCCGGCGCCAGTAACTGGGAGGTGCTGAGAGTCGCCGAGGGCGCGCCGGGCCCAGGTGCCGGGGCTGCCCGCCGCCCGCCGCCGCCTGCTCGCCCGCCCGCCCGCCTCTCGCGGCCGCTCTCCCCCCTCCCCGACACACACTCACAGGCCGGGCATTGATGGTAATGTATGCGAGGAAACAGCAGAGACTCAGTGATGGGTAAATTGTCTTTTCGTTTCGGGCCGGGCGGCGGCGGCGGGGGGCGGCGGCGGCGGCGGCGGCGGCGGCGGGGGGGCTGTTCCTTCTTATCTAGAGCTGGCCGGGCCGCCATTTTTGTTGTTAACCCTGATCCGGATCGGATTGGGGAGGAGGAGCGGCCGCGCGGGCGGGCTGGCAGGGACGGACTGTGGCGGGGAGCGGGGGCCCGGCTGCGCGGCGTTTCGCCCTCCCCGGCCCTCCCGGAGGCTCGGGGTTTGCGCCTTGTGCGCGCTGGGCTCGGCGCCGGGGCGCTGGGTAGGTCTCCCGCGGGGAGGGGCGATTGGGGACCCATTTTCTTCCTCCCTGGCCCCCCACCCACGCCTTGTCTTATGTCTTTGCTTTCTCTTCCTGTTTTTCAGCTGTCACGACCGGAGGGGGGACTCGCAGCCTTACCAGGTACTAGCCGAGGCCGGGTGGAGGGTTTGGAAGGGGCCGAAGGGGGAAGGGAGGGACTGCTACTCGAGCGCAGGCCTCAGAAGTCGCTACAGGCCCTTCGGTGTAACACATCGGAAACCAGCACCGCGGGTCCCCTTAAAATTCGGGGTTTGGTGCTTTTGGCCCTCTCCAGCAAGGTTTAGTGACTTATTTTGACAGGTGACTGGAGGAAGTTCGCTGATTTAGGAAAAAAAGAATCATTTGCAGCCAGGAAGACCTGACTCGATTATTTGCGGGTGAAGGAATCGAAGGGATGAGATGATAGGTGACTTCCGAGGCTTAATTATTTATTTATTGTGTTGGGGAACTGGAAGTTAATGTAAAGGCATTAAAATTAAGTGAAGGACCTGGGATAAATAGCTAAATGACTTACAACTTTTAAGTCGGTAAAAAGTGCTATTTCCCCTTTTAATATTTTTGGTATACTTAATTGCTGTACAAGTAAAAGATGTGTGCTTTTGTTTCTGTAAGAATTGAGATCTTTTGGTACTTGGATAATTCATTCTGATGTAGGTGGTTCTAGGTAGGCGGGTTCCTTTTTGTTACTGCAGTCCCTGCTTGTAAAGTTCTAAGGATTATGATAGAAGTGGCCCCAGTTTTCAGAAGGGAAATATAAATGATTGGTAATCATCAGATGACTACGGAAATCCTTTCTAGATTTTAAAAGATCAGAGAGCAGGTTTCTAACCTGATTCCTGTGTTGTTATACAGCGGAATTTGAAAACACTGTTCTCTGATGTGTAAAACATTGGATATGTCAAAAATTAAACCTTATTGAATCTGTCCTCCAAAGCATAACTAATTACACATTGTAACAGACTAGTACATCATGGTGGTTTTAAGATATGTTGGAATAAAGCTAAACTATTATTTTGAGTGCATTATGCTTGTTTAGAAATAGTATTCACCTTAGTGTATTGGTCAATATTTTTATACCTTAAAATTGTTTCCCACACCTGTAAGAGTAGGGAAGTTAGGTCTGAAATGCTTTATTTGAATCATAGAATTGGAGAAACTGGTGTGTGGGTTTTTTTTTTTTTTGGTAGGTTTGCAAAAATACGCGTGTGCTTATTCATATGCTTGTGCATATCAGTTGTATAGCAGAAATTGATTGCAGTGGTACTGAATTTCTAGTTTTCCTCTGAGTAAACTTTCAAAGTGATTTTAAATATTCCCAGAATTTTTTTTTTTTTCAGAATCAGTGTGCCAAGGTGGTTTGATTTAGTTACAAGATAATGGAGTGATTCTTTTTTTTTTTTCATTTAGTATTATGATTTGTACCAGGAGTGTTACTGTAACACTTAAGCATTAGGTTTTGTCTGAGAAACTTTGAAGAATAGAGCAGAATTCAAAGTGGAAATTTAAGTTCATAAAATTTGATGACGTTAATACACCAAAATTTGTTTAAATTAGTTTCTGGAGTTAAGTTTAAGGTTTCAATTCTTTCTCTCTCTCTTTTGGGGGGGTGATGTTTTACAGGCACTTAAGTATTCATCAAAGAGTCACCCCAGTAGCGGTGATCACAGACATGAAAAGATGCGAGACGCCGCAGATCCTTCACCACCAAATAAAATGTTGCGGAGATCTGATAGTCCTGAAAACAAATACAGTGACAGCACAGGTCACAGTAAGGCCAAAAATGTGCATACTCACAGAGTTAGAGAGAGGGATGGTGGTGAGTAGCTTTCTTGTTGAAACTTTGACATATATGTTTCATAGTAGCTGTATATAAAACACGCAGCAGTAGTATTTCAAGCTTGAAATTACTGTGTGGTTATGTCATTAAAATATTTTACTACTATCAGTTTTTTTTTCTTTCCCTTTACTCTAAACAAGTTACTGTAGACATAAGATGCTGATGTGAGCATCTAAAAAGTGGAAACTAAGGCCAGGCATGGTGGCTCATGCCTGTAATCTCAGCACTTGGGAGGCCGAGGTGGGGGCAGATCACTTGAGGTCAGAAGTTCGAGACCAGCTTGGCCAACAGGTGAAACTTGTCTCTATTAAAAATACAAAAGTTAACTAGGCTTGGGGTGGCAGGCACCTGTAGTCCCAGCTACTCAGGAGGCTGAGGTAAGAGAATCACTTGAACCTGGGAGGTGGAGGGCGCAGTGAGCCTGAGGTGGTTCCACTGTGCTCTAGCCTGGGCGACAGAGCGAGACTCCATAACAAAAAAATAAAAAGTGGACTTTAGTGTCTGATAATAAGGAAATGAATTTATAAGTATAGTTTGAAACATGCTTTCTTAAGGATGGGGAAAATGCAGGACATTTTTTCCGATAAAGGAACTTTCCCCTTTTTAAGTAAAGATTTCAATTTATTTTGAGATCCTTATTGTTGCTTCAGTTTACTTTTTAAGGTGTTCAGATCTCTTCTCATTACAATGATAGTATGCTTTTACAGGATAGTTCCCAGATTTAAAAAATTATTTGTGACTTAGAGAATACATTCTTGCTTTTTGTTGTAAACATTTTATTTTCAGTATTCTCCAGTTTTGGTGATGTGATTTTTATACCTTATTCATTGAACTATTCTTTTTGAAAGTTAATGTGATTTCTTTTGCACAATGCTGTACCTTCAATTATAAGTTTGTGTCAAGCTCTTTGTGGTAGGAGGCTGAGAATAAGTAAACAAAACCAACTCAGTAACTACTTCCAGACTTAATTTGCCCAAATTACATTTCAAGTCAGAAGCATCCAGTTTCAATAACGTAATTAAAGACGTCTGTATTTTCTCATACTGTAACATATTGCTTAAGGAGATAACATATGTTAAGCAGATTTACCATATTAAAGCTTCCAAAGAAACTCAATAAAGTACTGTGTGGCTTTTTGCCCCTATTGGCAACTAGTTTCTCAATACTTTGCTTACTTTAAAAAATACCTTGCATCTTCTGGTTCCTTGACAGAAATCAGCTTTATTCAGTGTGATCATATATCAAGAAACATTGGCTTCCTTTACATAATTACTGCTTTGAGAGAAATACTAGTCAGAAGAGATTACACTGGGATTGAATAATTTGGATGAGGAGAAAATACTCTGTTGAATTTAGTTACAGCTTAGTGTTATATATGCAGATACAAACATTTTTGTTTGTAACTGTAGTAGCAGGTATATTTGATTATTAAAGTGTTAGAAGTTACTGGGTTGCAAAATTAAGCTCTTAAAGTTTTCAGTTTGGTGGGTAAGTTTTCCATAGTGTTACATAAACCCTGAGAAAGCCTGAGATGGTACTATCTATCAGTTACTCTTCTATAGTGGATTTCATTTCAGATGTTAGTTCATGGAGAGCAGGTACTGGTTGTACTTATAACTGTACTTTATTTTGTAAAATTTGGTGATTGTAACAAAATAGGGTATGGCATCTCATCTTCTTACAAATGGCTCTAATTTTAGTGACTGTGATCCAGGTTATCCCCAAATGCCAAGTAGTCAGTTTTGCAGTCAAACTTACTTTGTAAATGCTTTCAGTTTCAGCAAACCTTGCTCAGCCACTTCTTTTACAGGTGAAGTAATCCCAAGAACATTCTGTTACTCATTCAACAAACCTGGGGGATCTGCTCTGTGTGATGCTCATTAAGATGTGATCCTGGCCTTGAAGCTATTAAGTGCTTTGATTCTTGAGAGCTAGTGGTATTTTAGCCACTTAAGTTAAGTTTTTCTGTACCCATTTTTTTCTTCACTTTGATTTTTCATTTTCCTACCTGTCTGATCTCCAGGCACTTGTTAGCTTTTTGTTCTTAGAAATTTGCATCTTTCCTGATCTTTCTTTAGTTTCATTTGCAAGAAACTTGATGTCTTTCTAGCTGCTTGTCTTCTGGAGTCTTCCAACTAATACTGTACCATTTCTAATATACTTGGATGCCATATTCCTTTATATTTCATAGAAATAACAACAACATGAGCTATACATCTTTGATTCTAATACTGCCTTAAAAAATGGAAAATGGTGGTTTTTCCTCATTTAATACTGAGCTATTTTAGTCATTATAATTTGACTTCTGGAGTCTTTATTGCTAATGATGTATTTGGTGCTAAGATGTTAAAAGTGTATATGTATGACTTCTATTGCTGGCATTATGAACTCCTTTAGATTTTTATCTTTAAAAATGAATTCAGGCTGGGGGCGGTGGCTCACACCTGTAATCTCAGCAGTTTAGAAGGCAAAGGTGGGCAGATCAGCTGAGGTCAGGAGTTTGAGACCAGCCTGGTCAACAGGGTGAAACCCCTTCTGTACTAAAAATACAAAAATTAGCCAGGTGCAATGATGAGTGTCTGTAATTCCAGCTACTAGGGAGGCTGAGACAGGAGAATCACTTGAACCTGGGAGGTGGAGGTTGTAGTGACCTGAGATTATGCCACTGCACTCCAGCCTGAGTGAGATCCTATCTTCAACAACAACAACGACGAAAATAATTCACCCAGGTGCAGCTGCTCATGTCTTGTCATCTTGGTTGCTTGGGAGTATGAGATGGCAGGGTCCTTTGGAGCCAGGAGTTTGAGACTAGCCTTGGCAACATAGCAAGACCCTGTCTCTTAAAAAAAAAATTTTTTTTTTTTAATTAGCTGGATGTGATGATGCCTGCCTGTAATCCCAGTTTCTTGGGAGACTGAGGTGGGATGATTGCTTGAGCCCAGGAGTTTGAGATTAACAGCTGTGGTTACACCACTGCACTCTAGCCTGGGTTGACAGTGAGACCTGTCTCTTTGAAACAAGAAAAAGAAAAAAGAACTCATACATATAAATTCAAGACCATTATCAAAAAATCAAATGCAAGTGAGTAGGATTATCTAAGCTCTCAGCATGTAAAAAACTTAAGGTAATAGGAGGTTACTTACTGTATTGTTTATTGAACTACTTAATTTCCAGTT